ACCCATACCCATATTATAACTGTAATAGCTCAAATTTTCAAATAAAATTTTCATTTAAATAAAACTATTTTATTCAAACAAGAGTATTTATTCCAAGTTTCATTTCAAAAATACAATTAAAAGAATCCCCAAGATCTCCAACAATGGCAGTGTTGTACGCGTCACGCCGGCGCCTTCCCACGGTCCTCGCTAGTACCTGAAACATATACATAATAACTTGTAAGCATAAATGTTTAGTGAGTTCCCCAGTATACCGGTTACACATATACGCCTTTCCAGGCCCGGACCTTCCGGTCCACAGTACAATGCCTTCCGGCCCGCCTTCCGGCCCATAAAATAATTGCCTTTCGGCCCATAAGATAATTGCCTTCCGGCCCATAAAGATAAATTGCCTTCCGGCCCATAAGATAATTGCCTTCCGGCCCATAACATGATTTCCCTTCCGGCCCATAAACATATATAACACATAATACATTTACTCTAACACATATATCACATATATCATAAATCATCACTGACCTTCCTATCACATAATACATTGCCTTCCGGCCCATAGAAACATACATAGCATGCATAGCAACTATTCCTTTCAATTATAGCACATATAAAAGACATAGCATATCCGACCTTCCGGTCACACAGTCAAACCCTTCCGGGTACAGTATAGTGAGAAGACTCACCTCGTAGTATGTAAGCTATAGACTCTTGAAACTACTCGCACTCGATCCGCCAATCTGCAGGCTCCCTATAATACCACATACTCTTATTAATGATCTTATCAAACAAGACAACTGACTCTACGAGATTACATGCAGGTCAACTCTGGTCAACGGTCAACTTGACCGGACTCGTCGAGTACAGAGGCGACTCGACGAGTCTAAACGTCCTCCCCAACTTCCCCTGTTGTTTCCCTTTCTACTCGTCGAGTATCCCTCTTGACTCGACGAGGTCCTCGTGGAAGAATCGCGGGGCCACCCCGACTCCACTCGCCGAGTCCGAAGGAGACTCGACGAGTTCCAATGAATCCTCAACTACTCGCCGAGTCTGAAGAACAACTCGGCGAGTCCCTGTAAATCTTCAAGCTACTCGCCGAGTCTGATCATTGGACTCGGCGAGTCCATGCCATGCAGTCGATCACCTGTTCCCTGAAATATGCATGGTCCCGAGACATGCACTCATGGGACTTTCTGGACATCTAAGTACCCTATCACTGGGGTATAAAAAACTGGTAACACACAATATTCTATCAAATCCCCAAATGGGTCTCACAAACCCTAGATTCGTGTACAACACTAAAACGACAGAAATGGTCCGAGTATTACCTGAAAAACGTGTTCTCTGTGTCCCCAACCTTCAGAACTCAATCCTCTTGATCTTCCTTTGACCAAAACCTTGCCTCTTCTTGCCTAACAATCTCCTCAAGGTCCCAATAGCCTTCCCTTCTCCTCTAGTCGTCACAGATGCTTAGGTTCTTCACAATCGGCCAAAAAAACGTACAATGACGGCTTAAGAGGCTTTTTATACGTTCCAAACTAAACGGATAGGGTTTCTGCTGAACAGCGTCGACTCGACGAGTCCATATCTGGACTCGTCGAGTCCAGTCGCGCATCCGCGACCAAGCCTGTGGTCCTACTCGGCGAGTCAGGCACCAACTCGCCGAGTCCCTCCCTAAATTGTCCCAAAAATAGTTTCAAAACAATACCTGAAATTTCGGGCTGTTACAACTCTCCCCCACTAGAACTAGACTTTGCCCTCGAAGTCTCTCTCTGCGAATAACTCCGGATGTTGCTCCCGCATTTCACGCTCCGGCTCCCAAGTCATCTCCGATCCCTTTCGGTGTTGCCACTGAACCAACACCAGAGGTACCTCTTTGTTCCGCAGAACCTTGATCTTCCGATCCCTGATAGCTACTGGTCTCTCGGCGTAATTCAGGCTTGCATCCACCTGAATATTCTCTAACGGAACCACTGCCGATTCATCGGCTATACACTTCCTCAACTGTGATACGTGAAAGGTGTTGTGAATCTGACCCAACTCTGCTGGCAACTCCAACCGATAAGCTACCCGACCTACTCTTGCAATTACCCGAAACGGACCTATGAACCGGGGCCCTAATTTGCCCCTCTTTTTGAACCGGATCACTCCCTTCCAGAGAGAAACCTTCAGGAGAACGAAATCACCAACCTTAAATTCCAGCTCGGACCGGCGTCTGTCCGCATAGCTCTTCTGTCGACTCTGGGCGGTCAATAACCTCTGCCTAACCTGCTGAATCTGCTCGGTTGTCTGAAATACGATCTCTGTACTGCCCATCACTCTCTGTCACACCTCTCCCCAGCAGATGGGAGTCCGACACCTCCTACCATACAACAACTCAAAAGGTGGCATACCAATGCTCGAATGATGGCTGTTGTTGTAGGAAAACTCAGCCAAAGACAAATGCGCATCCCAGCTACCCCCGAAGTCTAACACACACGCTCTAAGCATGTCTTCCAATGTCTGAATCGTCCGCTCGCTCTGACCGTCTGTCTGGGGATGGTATGCGGTACTAAAATGCAGTTTAGTACCCAGCTCCTCATGGAATTTCTTCCAGAATCTGGAAGTGAAGCGTACATCACGGTCTGAAACAATCGAGATCGGCACTCCATGCTGAGATACTATCTCTCTCACGTATAACTCCGCCAACTTCTCCGCTGATGAACTTTCGCTAATGGCATGGAAGTGTGCACTCTTCGTCAACCTATCTACAATCACCCAAATTGCATCAACTCCTCTGGCAGTTCTCGGCAATTTGGTGATGAAATCCATTGTAATCTGTTCCCACTTCCACTCAGGAATCTCCAAGGGCTGCAACTTACCATGCGGTCTCTGGTGTTCGGCCTTAACCCTCCGGCAGGTCAAACACCTCTCAACGAACCAAGCAACGTCTCTCTTCATACAAGGCCACCAATATTCCTTTCTCAAATCCAAATACATCTTCGTAGCACCGGGATGGATCGAGAATTTCGATCTATGATCCTCCTCCATCAAAGTAGCACGCGTACCGCCCATGAATGGTACCCAAATCCGACCCTGGAACGTCAGAAGTCCTCGTCCATCCTTAACGAACTCCGAAATTAACCCGACGACCCGCTCCTTCTTCTGCATCTCGGATTTCACAACCTTGGTCTGTGCCCCACGAATAGCATCTAATACCGGAGTCATTACCGTCAACCTCAGACATACGTCCCGCAATGGAGTGCTCTCCGCCCTACGACTCAATGCATCGGCTACCACATTAGCCTTGCCTGGGTGATATAGGATCTCACAGTCATAATCCTTAACCACGTCCAACCATCTCCTCTGACGCATATTTAGGTTGGGTTGATCCATCAAATACTTCAAACTCTTATGGTCCGTGTATATAGTACAACGAACCCCGTATAGGTAGTGACGCCAAATTTTGAGAGCGAACACCACTGCCCCCAACTCTAAGTCATGTGTGGGATACCTCGCCTCGTGAGGCTTCAGCTGCCTCGATGCATAAGCTATCACATGGCCCCTCTGCATCAACACTGCACCCAGTCCCGAAATCGATGCGTCGCAATATACGACAAAGTCCTCCATCCCTTCCGGGAGAGCTAATACCGGGGCTTCGGACAGTCTCTGACGAAGTGTCTCGGAGGAAGTCTGCTGCTCGGGTCCCCATGAGAATGTAACACCCTTCCGGGTCAATCTGGTGAGCGGTACACCGATCTTGGAGAAATCCTTAATAAACCTCCGATAGTACCCCGCCAACCCAAGGAAACTCCTGATCTCGGAAGGTGACTTCGGTGCCTCCTGTAACAGCCCGAAACCTCAAGTATTGTTAAAATTACATTTTGGGGTGTTTTAAAGGGAAGACTCGGCGAGTTGGAGCCAGACTCGCCGAGTAGGATCGCAGATCGGGACTCGGGTTCGCGACTGGACTCGACGAGTCCAGATAGGGACTCGGCGAGTCTGCGCTGTTTAGCGAAAACCCTAACTGTTCAGGTTTGGGACGTATAAAGGGGATCATTGGCCATCATTGTTCCCTTTTAGCCGTCTGAGAGGAGCCCTAAACCGAGTGTGTGCATCAGGAGCAAGGTTAGAGGCCATGAGTGATTGTGAAGGAGTTGTTGTGCAAGGAAGGGAAGGTTTTGGCTAAAGGAACAGCAAGGGAGTCACATGCTGAAGATTGGGAACACAGAGAATACATTATTCAGGTATGAATTCGGGTATACTCTGTTATGTTGATATATTTAGAGGATTAGGGTTTAAGGAACCTTTTGTGAT